AGCCATTTGCTGGAATACTATTCAGCCATAGAAAGGAAGGAAGCGCTGATTCACGCTTCAATGTGGCTGAACCTTAAAAACATGCTAAGTGAAAGAAACCAGTCACAAAAGACCATGCAATATATGATTCCATGCATATTAAAGTCCAGAACAGGGAAATTATAGAGACAGAACGTGGTGGTTGCTTATGGTTGGAAGAGGGGTGACTTTTTGAGGTGATGAAAATGTTCTAAAACTGACCATAATAATGGTTGCATGCACCTGTGGATACATTAAAAAATACTGGATTGTACACTTTAAAAGAGTGAATTGTGGGGGGTAGGGTATAGCTCAAGTGGTTGAGCACATGCTTAGCATGCAAGAGGTCCTGGGTTCAATTCCCAGTACGTCCACTGGAAAAAAACAAACAAGTAAATCTAATTATCTCCCCACCTGCAAAAAAAAGAAAAGAAAAGAAAAAAGAATTTTTAAGTAAACTTTTTTTTACAAAAGAGTAAACTGTATGATATGTGAGTTATAGGTCAATAAACCTGTTTATTTTGAACGATACGGGATAGGAGGTGAGGAGCTGGTGACTGAAGGTTGATTCAATGCTGCTTCCTTTCAGGTAAAAGGACAACCAACATGTGCAAACTGTGCACCCACTGCCGACACCCGCGGCGGCGAGGAAAGCGCTCCCCTCCCCTTCATACGGCCAATCAGTTGACAGGCCCTGAGAAGTAGGGGGCATCGCCCTGTGGGCAGCTAGGCAGGCCGGGCCGGGCTGCTCAGAGGCCTGCCTGTCACACTGAGGAAGGGGCTCTCAGGACCGCAGGGGCACTGGGATGAAGAGGGGGCACTGGAGTCTCCAACAGCAGGAGTCCCTCTTCATCTCAGGAAGTGCCAGGTTCCAGTAACTACAGTGTCCTCCCTGCTCAGAGTCACCGTGCCCTGGCAGTCTCCCCGCCTAAGCAGGGCCGGTCTCGTTCCAGTTAAATCTGATCTTATCACCCCCACCCCCAGCCTGCAGGATCAAGCCCAAGCCCCACAGCCTGGTGTGAAAAGCCCTCCCTCCACCCTTACCATCCTGAAGTTCCCAACCCTGAGAGGCACGTTCACCTGCACCCAACGGGCAGCACCATCTGCCTCATGAGCCCTCCCAGCCGCCTCCTCCTCCTCAGCCTGCTCCCAGCTGCCCCCTGGAGCCACGTCTCCCTCCACTGACCCGCCGGGGTGCCCTGTCCCAGCCCAGCCCCCATAAGGCTCTTCCACACCACAGACACGCAGGCATGATGCCTACACACCAGGTACGGTGTGCAGCAAGGGGGCAGCAGCTGGGCTTGAAGCAGATGCAGTCCCTGCCCCTGTGGAGCTAACCCCCAGAGGGAGAGACCGGTGGTAGCAGCCAATAAAGAATTACAAACTTCCAAATGGAAGGAAGGAAAAGCACAAGGTTATGAGGGCCTAGGATGAGGAATGTGCCCTTAGTCAGATAATCAGGGAGAGATCCCTGAGGAAGGGGCACCAGAGCTGAGAGCTGGGGGTGGGGATGAATTTCAAATAAGGGAATGGCATGGGCAAAGGCACTGAGGTAGAAAAGAGCTCAGAGCTTGAGCAGCTGCTGCGGGAGAGCCAGTGTGGGAAGGAAGGGAAGGCGGGACCAGATGAGGCTGGGGAGGAAGGCCATGGCCAGACTGTGCAGGCCCCACAGGCCATGTCAGGGGCTACAGTCTTTATTGCCACTGCAGTGACAAGGTGTGGAACAGTTTTTAGTGAGGACAAGTAGAGACCAGGTCTGTGTTTCTCCTAGCTCTTCACTCCGGGGGCTGCGGGCAGTTCCTGGTTTCTCAAGGCTGCCCCTCTGGGCTGGGAGCTCACATGCCCAGCAGGCAGTGCGCCACTGCAGAGGAAGTTGTCCTTGTGTTCAGACCAGGGATCCAGCAACCACTTGGGGGACACCTAACATCCTTCCCGCTAAGGAAGACAGCGAAAAGAGGTGACAGTTTAGACACAAACCTCCTCCTTGCAGGCTCATTCGGGGAAAACCCCACGAAGACCAGCTAGACAGTACACCTACCCCGTGGAACTTGATCACCATAACACGCTTAGCAATTCTGGGGCAGCAGCGGGAGGACCACCTCCCAGGCCACACCTGACAGGTGGCCCTGGATGCCACAGTGAGAAGGTTCTCATTGCTCCCCTGAAGAAGCAATTCGAGAGGCCAGGAGATCCCTGAGCACTGGGACAGGGACCCTCCCACCACCCCAACCTCACTCGTCCACATGGGTTTGGCCCCAAGGGACCTTTGCCCAGGTCTGTTCACTGATAACTGAATCTTGGGCACAGCTTTGGCGGCACTAGGCTGCTGGCTCCACGAGAACCTTGGCACAGAACAGCAACCGAACCATCCTGATGACTCTCCAAGCCCAGCTCTCTTGAGGCCAATATTTAAAGTGGGGCAAGGGGACAGTTTGGGGGATGGTTTGTATGGCAACTAGCTTTAGTGATCTGCATAAGCCCCAGGCCCACAGCCCCTAACCTGTCCACAACAACAGCCAGGAAAAAGAGAACCTCTCAGCTCTGAGAATTCCTTTCCACCCCCAGGCCCTGGAGGATTAATGGAAGCATCTCATGGGCAGGGCATTCAAGGGCTGTCAGAAACATCTCAGAAACTCATCCATCTCAACCCACGCAGCCCCAAAACCACTTCCCCAGGGACCTGAACGTTGTCTTTGGAGAAGGTCCTTTGAGCTGAACCCGTCCTGGAGCAAACCACCTTTCTCTGTTTTCTTACAAAATGCAGAAAGGCCAGCTTTGCACACCCAAGCCCTAGACCCTGCTTCCCAGCCTCTGAAATCAGTATCTTTCTGCTTCTACTCACTCTGTGCCCCTCTCTCCACCTAAGCCCATGCCTCCCAGTTAATGTCCTGAGAATAAATATTAAACCAAGAAACTGAAAGCGACGGCATGGTCAAGGTCAGGTGTCAGTCCATCTGGCCTGGCTCTGAACTTGAATCTCACGTCTTGTGCAGGGTGGGATGATCGTGGCAGGAGGAGGGGCTGCGTGCTGCTGAGCGAGCCTCACCTGGCACCTCTCAGTCCCTCTCCACGCCAGCCCCACCCGTCTCTTCTCTTCTTGGGGCCTGGGGAAAGTGCAGCCTGTCACCCTCCTCCCCAAAGGATTGTTCTCTTCACAAAGGAGGAAACGTCCTGGCCTTATCAGATATCCGCTTCATGCTCGAGCACAGACTGCAGTGAAAATCTATCCCAGAGATACTGAGGCTGGAAGGTTATCCTGAGGTCACCTAAGTCATCTGAGGGCCAGTGGGTTGTGTGTGCCCTGGGTGGGACAGACTCCAGGGACCCAGCTGAGGCCTCCCCGGGAAACGCATTCAGTGGCTGAAACCCGCAAAGCTGCACGTTTCCACATCCCCACCCCCGACTCGATATGCTCTCTCTCTAACCTTTGCCCAAGAACAGGAACACAGGGGACCCAGGTCCTCTCTACTGTTCAGCCATTACCCGCCCTGCCCTGCGGGCTGTGTGCCTGGGGGGGCAGGGATGAGCGGTCCCCCAGGGTTGCTTGTTCTGTAACTCCCAGGGTACCAGGGCTGGCTAGGGGCTGCAGTCCTTTCTCTAGGAAAGTAACAGCACAAGCACTAGCAGCGGAGCAGCTGGAGGCACCTCCAGGTACACACAAGGACACTTACTTCTCACAGCAACCCGCCAGTCCTAAGGAGTAGGAACTAGCAGCAACTCCGTTTTACACAAAGGAAACTAGGCCTCAAAGAGGTCATGTGATCACACCGGCACGGACCTCCAATTCGGCACTTCATACGCATGGCATTGTTTACTCCTCCCAACACGGTATGAGGTTTTCCTGACACAACCGCCATGACCAGTGAGAAAACTGAGGCTTGGCAAGGTCACAAAGGAGCCCAAACATGCCTTTCCCCAGGGGCCCAGCCCTATGAGAGTGGAGGGGCTTCAGGCTGCTGGCAAGGCAAAAGGCCCTGGGGGGCACCACATGGGGACACCACTTCCCCTGGTGCATCAGGGAGTCGGGGACACCAGCAGGGACACAAACAGGCCACCGCTGCACGTGGGACGCGGGAAGAATCTGGCAGAGTCGGTCAAGGAGGGGGTGAGACCCACCGGGAAGCGAGGGAGGCTGAGGTCACTGACCCTGGACACATGAGAGAAAGAAAATGCTGTCAGCAGGAGGGCTGCTGTTGCGATGAGAGTCCCCTTTGTCCAGATAAAGAAAGACAGGACGTCAGCCCTCTGAGAATCACACACTGAGAAGTGCTGGCCCAAGCACCCCCTCCTCTCCTCCCAAGGGAGGCCCTCTCTCTCAGCCACGTTTTCACTGATAATATGACCTTGTTTTTCATGACCCCTGAGCTGCTTCCTGAGGAATGAATCACATTCTTGTCCACAACAGAGAAGACACAGGGCAGGTCAGTGGGGGCAACGGCAGCCCCCCAACCCCGAGATAATGGGCAGGTCACTGTGGGGTCAGGACCCGGCCAGTGGAGAAATGGGGAAGGGAGGAGGGAAGAGCTCAGAGACGGGCACACAGGGTCAAAGCCATGAGCACAGGGAGGGGGTTCTCCACCAAGGTGGACCCGGGGCCAAGTGAGGCTGTTCCAGTCCACAGGCCCTGGGGAATCCCTTCTCCAAAGGGGCCAGTGTGTTTCACTCCTGTGCCAACTCAGAACCACTGGCTGTGGCTGTGTGTGCGCAGGGGATGTGGAAGCCTCGTCTGGACTCGGCAGTGCTCTGATCAGTAAATCACATCTGTATAGGTAGAGGGAAAGAGGGTGCCAACCGCGCCCTGGTTCAATCCCATTTCACTTCTGAGACAGAGGTCCTGGCAGGGAAGTGTCTGACCACAAGCCCATGTCTTGGCGGCGGCAAAGCCAAGCCTAGGAGTACACAGCAAGACAGCTCCGCGGCTTCACAGATGCACAGAGCAGTTCCCTGGCCGCCTCCCCCGAACCCCGCACACCCCCGCTCACCTGGAACCTATGCACCAGCTCCAGGGACTGGCTGTCATTCTGGTCGGCTTCGAGGATGACATCGGTCAGCTTGTGGATGATGACGTCCAGGGGGCCTTGCTCCTCAATCGGCCGGTTAAGGTTCAACTGCAAGGGGGAAACAACAGAGAAAAGGAACAACTTCAACACCTGAGCCTACTGCCCCATCTGTACATCCTGGCGGCACAGAGAGGGGGCAAGAGGAGGGCTGGCGCTTGTGGGACAGGACAGGACACATGGATGAACTCGGTGAGGTCCCAGGACTCCTCCAGGGCAGGCCCCGCGTCTGTACCTCTGTCCCCAAGCCCCCTGCTACCCAGGATACAGAAGACACACATGGGGAATCAGGGTGACAAAGTATCTACAGGTCAAGCAAGAGTCACTGTGAAAGCATTCACTGGACATGTCATGTGTGCCCAGGTTTTTCAGGAGGGCACCAGGGTTCAGCAGGGTGAAGTCATACGACTGAAGTCACACGGCCAGACTGAACTGAGATCCAAGCAGACACTCTCTCATGAAGCTACACGCAGCCTCAGCGAAGCTGTGATCTGCACAAATCTGAGAGCTGCTGCTTTGGGATACCAGCTGAATACACTTCACACTGAGATCCCGGCCTCTCATGACAAAGTGAGGGGGTGCAGGGCTGCCTGGACTCCCTGAGGCACTGCTCGCCCTGAGGGATGTGTTTATTTTTTCAAGAGCATGGGGTTAGGAAGATCGGGACCCAAGGGAGCCAGAGCTGAAAGGCTGACAGACAGTAGGCATCACCTGACCCACAAGACAGGAGCCCTGCCAGCAGCCGGGGCCGCCTGACACCGCTCTTCCTGAGCCACCAGATGTCTGCCGCCCGGCACACAGCCGCCGCCACCTGCATGGCCCACTCCCTTGGAGGCCGTGGCGCCAGCCTGGAACCTGGCTGACCCTCTGGATGGCCTCAGCAGAGGCCAGAGATGGCAACCAGCCCTACCTCTGCCCTCAGCCCCACCCCTCCAGGTGGGGCCCCCTCCTGGCTTCAAGGGTGTTTGTTTCAAAGTCATCAGTAAAGAAATCAGGATGACAGCTCTAGGGAGGCACTGTGCTAAAATCTCACGTGCATCTGTTTCATTTTATTTTCCAGCCACACAGTGAGAAGCAATTTCACAAACGAGAGTGGAGAACACAGACTTCTAAAACCTGCCCAGGATCCCACGGTGAGAGAGCAAACCCAGAGCTGAAGCTGTGCTTGTCATCCAGCCCCTGCCCCCTGCCCCCGTGCCTCTGCTGTGCCTAGGGGGCTGTCCACAGCCTTGTCCTCTGGCTGCTGGCCGAGTCTGGCCATTTGGAAACACCAGCAGAAGAGGGGAGAGTTGAGGAGTGTGGGTGTTTGTTCCCACTGTCCTCACACCCCCACCATCTCTCTGGCAGCAGCCACCGTCCCCCTCGATCAAGGCAGCCCCTCTCCCAAGACCACCCCTGTCTCTAGGCTCTTCCCTCCCCTTGTCCCTCGGGCGTGGGGTAGTGACCGCGCTCCACTCTCAGGGAGCCTCACCACATCCTGCTGGTTCCTTTGACTCTGCCCACACCTTGTCAACTTCCCTTATTTAAACCCTGTCCATTAAAGCTTTGCAATGTGCCAGCTCTGTTCTGATATCCTTAACTCCTCTTTTTAATTGTCTGCCAGGAAAGACGTTAAGGGATTTTTCCATATTAAAAAAATAATATCCCATGGATCTCATAAAAAGAAAATCCTGAAGAACACTCTTCCCTCCCCGTGGCGACTAGTCTGTGTACAAAACAGAACAAAACACAAACGAGATCCACTGAGAGTCCACCCATCCCTTCTGGGGCTCCTGGACAGGGGAAGGAAGTGTCCTCACAGCTTATCTAGGAGCTGGGGATGATGGTCCCACCCTCACAGACCAGGACACCAAGAGCCCAGGAGGAGAAGTGACCAGGTAAGGCCTCGCGGTTGGGAAGTGGCCTGGTCAGGACCTGGATGGAGGCCAATCAGCAGCTCCCATGCGCTCAGCCCACAGCCAAGCTGCCAGGTGCCCCGGGCCCGAGCAAAAGCCCAGCATCAACCCCGGGCCTCAGTTTCCCCCTCAATAAAAACAGGAAACTCCAAGGGCCTTATCTGGTCTGTCCTCAGATTCAGTATTACATTCCCATCCAATTCCACTTCCAGAAAAAAACAGAATTGAAAGGAAAGCAGAGCAGCCAGTGGGCAAATGGCGACGCAGGCAAAGGACAGCTTGTTCTCAGAGGTGCCACGGACACAAATTCACTTTCGCTGTCCCCCACGGCTCCGCTGTGACAGGCACCAAAACAAGAGGCCAATATTTTCAGACCAAGACAGCTTCAGATGGAAGAGAACTGGGTCACACGGTGACGCTGGGCACAGTGCCCTGGGCCTGTCAGAAACCCCATCCCAAAGAAAACGCTTCCTGTCCGGCAGGAGGGACAGAAATCAGTCCCTGGGAGGAACCTAGGGTCCCCTGGGTTTGGGGAAGGAGGCGGGCAGAGGAGATGCCCTGGCTCACACCTGCCTGGCATCAGCCCTCGGCCTGTAGACCTGACAACCATGGGCTGTTTGGAAAATAAGCTCTCCGCGTTCCCAGCCGCTCCACTGAAGGTAAACAGTTGAGTTCTGGAAGCCAGCCACCTTCCTTTGTGTATTTTCCAAGCATTTTTATGCCAGTGAAACCCTTTCACGAGAGTAACAGTGCGGGACACACATCAGGCCTGGTCCTGGCTCGGCATCGCTGCAGCGTCCTTGCTGTGGCCTGGCAGGGCCTTTCCTCAAGGGACCAGACGAGCCACGGTGGCCCTGAGGGGGTCTGCCCCAAGGAGACAGCAGTCTCTGCCCACTGGCTGGGAAGGGAGAGAAGGCCCTCTGGCTCTGTGCCCTCAGGAGTGGTGCTCAGGCAGGCTCTGGGTGCAGGTGGGAGAGAACTCAGCTCACTGCAGAGCAGGGGATGACACAGGAGGGACAGTGCCTCAGTAGGAGATACCACAGGGGAGGGGGAGGGGATGCCACAGAGGAGGGGATTCTCAGGAGGGGACACTGCAGGAGGGACCCTGGGTGGGCACAGAGGAGGGGACACTGCAGGAGGGACCCTGGTGGGCACAGAGGAGGGGACACTGCAGGAGGGACCCTGGTGGGCACAGAGGAGGGGACGCTGCAGGAGGGACCCTGGTGGGCACAGAGGAGGGGACACTGCAGGAGGGACCCTGGTGGGCACAGAGGAGGGGACACTGCAGGAGGGACCCTGGTGGGCACAGAGGAGGGGACACTGCAGAGGACCTTAGGAGGGGGCTACTTCAGAGGAGGGGACTCTCAGAGCAGGGAGAGTGTCACAGAGGAAGAGCCCTCAGGGCAGAAGGGGACACCACAGAGGGGGACCCCTTGTGAGAGACATGGCAGAGGAGGGGACCCTCAGGAGGCGGAGACTGCAGAGAAGGGACCTTCAGGTGCTCAGGTGGGTGATACTGCAGTGGAGGAAACACTGGGACCAGGGCAGGTACCTCAGAGGCTCCACTTTCCGGATGGGGTGGGGACGTGGACTCGGGTGGGCATGAACTCACTTCAATTGTGTCATTTTGTTTTCCTGACCATACTCTGCCCCCCAGAAAAGGGAACTTTCCCAGGGAAAGTTCTCTTCCTCAGAAAGGGTCTGACTGGTCCCTTTCAGCCAGTCACAAGGTGTCCTGATGAAAGGGCCGCCCGCTGCAGCCAGAGGTCTGTGGGTGCCACATTTCCAAGTCACACCATCCTGTGAGGTCAACGCTGGATGCTGTTCTGTGCAGCGCCCAAGTCTAGAATTCAGAGAAAACAAAGGCCACTGTTTCCTCAGAGACGAAAGCAGTGAGGCGGACAAGGGTGAAGGGAGGGCTGGGAGGAGATGGGACAAAGGCCTGCAAACCCCAGTGGCCTAAAAGTCACCTCTGACTTTCGAAAAGCAACCCCATCACACCCAGCCCGTATCCAAAGTGAGTGGGGCTCTGCCTAGCCCCTCACCCAGCACCTGGTCGGAGAGGAGGATGGTGGCCTTGGCACAGCTGGAAACCCCTCCCAGCTCAGCTGCTTCTGGGCTACAGCAGGTCATTTCACTGCTCAGCATCCCCATTCATAAAATGAAGATGTTGTAACTTCACCTCCCAGGGTTGTTCTGTGGATCCAGAACACCCTGTTTCTAGATGTGGCACACAAGCCCTCCAGACAACTTCCTGTTTCTGCTTGTTAATTCGACAAGTATTTTCTGGGCCCCTCCTGTGTGCCAGGCACAGATGGCCCTTGCCCTCTCCCAGCAGAGCCTCAGGTAACCATAGGAGAATCTCTGTTCACTCCAGATGTGGCCACAGCTGCCCCAGACCCTGCACGGGGCTGTGCTCCTGGGCCAGAGCAAGCCTTCTGCCTAGAAATATCCCCCGCCATCCCACGACCCCAGCCTCTTGTCCACATGGTGGACAAGTCCCAGCTCAGATCAATCCTTTTCCAGACTTCTGAACTCACCCCTCCCCAAACAGGAAAAATTAATAGCTCCCTCATCTCATCCATATCCCCAGGACCCTTTACACATCCTTCCAGGAATGCACCATAACTTTCAAATATAAAGTCATTTCTTTAATCCTCTGTCTCCTCCTGAGATCCACAATAACCAGAGGGTGGCAACCACAGGACCTAGAACTAAGGCTCAAGGCAAAAGCTTGGTAAATGTTTGCTAAATGTGCCTGCAGCTTTAAAGAACGGGACCTCCAGAGATGGGCGGGGGAAGGAAGGTGTAATCCAGGGACAGGTGGCAGCTGCAAAGATGCAGGACTTATCTGCATGAAATCCTCTCCTATATTTGTCAATTACAAACGCCTCAGGCGCCTGAAGCTACCACCTCTGCAGAAAGAGCCCTTCCTACAGCACTGATCCCTGACTGGCACTTTTTTGGGGGGAGGGGTTTGGCCAAGGAACCCTGCCCACACACACATGTCTCATCTGCAGGCTGGAATCAGAGGATCCAGGAGAAGCCTCCAATGCTGGGGGACCAGGCATCTCCCATAACCAGTGGTGTGAACAACTAATAAATCTTTAGTGCTTTAGATCACTAAGAATTTGGGGCTATCTGCTATAGCATTAG